ATTTGGAGGCTTAAAACAACAAAAATTTATTCTCTCACAGTTCTAGAGACTGGAAGTCTAAAATCAAGGTGCTGGCAGTACCACACTCCCTCTAAAGCAGGGGTGGGAACGTCCAGCCCATGGGCCTCATAAGATGTGCGAAAACATTTGGTCTGGCCCTGCCAACACATTAGGGGTGAGTTAATTAAATGTTTGACCAAATACAGCAGGCTAGTTTTTTTTAAGTTGATAATTTTGCATGGCCTACAAATGATGTTATAAATATCCAAATGGCCCTTGGCAGAAAAAAGGTTCCCCACCCTACTCTAAAGACTAGAGATTCCTTGCCTCTTCCAGCTTCTGGTGCCTTCGGGATCTCCCTGGCTTGTGGCTCAACCACTCCAATTCTCTATCTCATGTGGCTTTCTCTTATCTCCTTTGTTTGTGTCTTATAAGAACACTAATCATTGGACTTAGGGCCCACCCAGGTCATTCTAGATTATTTCTTCTCAAGATCCTTAACTTAATTGCATTTGAAAAGACCTTTATTTATAAACTAGAAGCCCATTGTATGAAGATTTGCGCAATAGGCCTTCCTTCCCCTGGCTGCCGGCACCGGTTTTCCTCTGGCACTCGGGACCCAGGCCTTTGGTCTGGCCGCAACAGAGAAGCCAAGCCTCTTCAGTCTTCAGTCTTCAGTCTGGCTGGAGCCTTCAGTCTTTGCTCCGTGCCTGTGTATGCAAATTAACCGCCATCTTTTTGGGTTAATTTGGATAGTCATTCTGATTGGCTGGTGGGTGTAGCGATTATTTCTTCTCAAGATCCTTAACTTAATTGCATTTGCAAAGACCTTTATTTATAAATACTGTCACATTTACAGGTTCTGGAGATTAGGACATGGGCATATCTTTTGGAGGGCCATCATTTAACCCACTATAACCTCCTAGCCTCCAAGGCCTTACCCAAGCTGCCTCTGCCTCCCCCAGCAACTTCATCTCCCAAGCTCTCTTTCTTGGTGCATGGCTTTACCCATGCTGGCTGCCTTTTAGTTTCAATTTGCATGTTTCTCTTTTATTAGTGTAGATACTGTCACATTTACAGATTTTGGGGATTAGTACATAGGCATATCTTTTAGAGGGCCATCATTTAACCCACTATAACCTCCTAGCTTCCAAGGCCTTACCCAAGCTTCCTCTGCCTATCCCAGCAACTTCATCTCCCAAAGCTCTCTTTCTTGGTGCACGGCTTTACCCATGCTGGCTGCCTTTTAGTTCCTTGATTGAGGACAAGCTCTTTCCCATCCTTCTGCTAAATGCTATTCCATACCATGCTCTCTAGTCTGCCTAGCTAACTCCTCCTTTAGGTCTTGACTTAAATCTAACTTCCACAGAGAAGTGTTTTTTTTTGACCTGTACACTTATGTTGCCACAGTTATTATCCCTCAAAGCATTTTGTTCCTTTTCTTCACAGCATTCAATTAATTTTCTTGTTTCCAAGTTGAACCTGCATATAATTTGTGTGTTTGCTTGTTATTCTTTGTCTCTTATCACTGGACTGTGAATTCTTCATACCACTTCTGGCACACCTGCTTTGTTAACTTCCTTTCCTATACCCAAGTGTGGGCCAGCACCTGGCACAGTGGCAATAACTAAATAAAGGAGTACTGAGTTAAAACAGCACCTCCCATTCCCCTTTGAACAGGATTAGATAAGTACAAATAAATGGGTTAGAAGGGTCACCAGACAGCTGAGGACATGAGGCCTGCAGCAGATCTCTCTCCCAGGCCAGCCTGATAGAATGGCCAAGCTGGGTAAAAAGGAAAAGTAGTACCTGATTACTAGCAAGTTCTTTCTCTACTCAATTCTGCCAGGAACAGACTGTATACCTCGGGAACTCATTCACCTTTTATAATAATCTCTACCTACTGTTCTAAAGGATTAATTGAGGCTTTTCTGAATTTTAGGAAAAACTCCAATAACAACTGATTTCCTACTGCAGCCTAATACTTAACTGGGAGATTCACATTATATATAAGGTTCTCAATTCTACTAAATCACAAAATGATTCAAGTATTAATAATAAATACTGCTGGCCTGTTTTAAAATCTATTGTGCACAGAGGGACTCAGAAAAGAGAAATATTTTCTAGGACACATGAAATTCTCCAGCCTCTTTTTTACCCTGAAGTTTATTTTTTAAATTGAGATATAATTTACATACTGTAAATTCCCCCTTTTAAAGTGTACAATTCAGTGTTTTGCCCAAAGTTATACTACCATTGTCACTATCTAATTCCAGAACATTCTCATCACCACCACTTTCCGCCCCCCCAAAAAACAACAACGCAAAAAACCATGCTCATTAGCAATCATTTGCTATTCCTCCCTTCCCCAGTCTCTGGCAACCACTAATGTATCATCTCTACAGATTTTCCCATTTGTTTTTCATATTTATGAAACAAATATAGAGACATGAAATGATTTGCACAGGGTTGTAGCCACCTCATAAGAAAGCAAGATTATAACACACGTATTTATAGCAACTTTTTAAACAGTATAAAATACAAGAGATCAGTGAAAATACGTTTAGCTCAACTATACATATCTTCAATGTGGCTATAAGACACCTGATGCATAAAGCTCAATTCTTAGGCTAGTAGTTCTCAGCAGTGTAAGGCTGGGTGGAGGCAGGAGGGCAGGGTGTTCGGCAGGGATCACTAAAGAAGAGATGCTACTGTTGGACAGGAATTGCCCATAGGGACAGGATGATGAGAGAGAAGGTTGAGAAAGTGTGACATAATGGGGTTTATAGGACTTTTTTTTTTTTAGCCCAAGGCTGTGAAATTAGTGCTAATGTGCACAGGCGCCCACTTGCTTTCTTTTACAGTGCCCTCACTGGGTCCCAGAGATCCCTAATTATTCCCAGTTTGTTTGAGTAGTTAATGCATAAATAGTGCTACCACCATTTCAGAATACTTGCTGGTTTATGACACTTCGCAAAATAATATAGAAAACTTGACTTTTTTATAGTCTACTGTCTGCATTCCCAATTAAGTTAAAGAATTACAAGCTTAACGTACTTCTGTACCACCAACAAACGTGTACACAGGAACAGTGATCCCATAGACTAAAATAACAATCAAAATCCATTTGCAAAAATAATTAGGCACACATTTTATTTTGTCTTAATCAATATTGCAAATACATTAACAAAGGGGGAAAAAAGGATGGAAACTGCTCATCACACAGAAAAAAATTCATCATTCAAAACAGATTAATCTCAACTTCAACATTCTTTTTTAAAAAATATACTTTTATTGATTTCAGAGAAGAAGGGAGAGGGAGATAGAAACATAGATGAGAGAGAATCATTGATCAGCTGCCTCCTACATGCACCCCATTGGGGACTGAGCCCGAAATCTGGGCAAGTGCCCTTACTGGGAAGTGAACCGGGACCTCCTGGTTCATAGGTCGACGCTCAACCATGCCTGGCTGAATCTCAACATTCTTTGTGCTCATTTAAAAATATTCTTAAAACAGGAACTCAAAAAGACAAACAAGTGAGAACTGTTCTATCAATTCAAATTGAGATCCTAAATCAACTATGACTACACAACTTAAAAATAACCTTGTCTTCAATCTAGAAATGCTTGATTTGCCAACATATAATGAATACAAATTTTCTTTTATTAACAAGTTACTTTGAGTTACAGAGATCCTGCATATGACTAGCTTATCTTTTTTTTTTTAATGACTTATAAAATTGCCTAGTTAGATGGTCTAACTATTCAGAGACTCATATACTAAATGACATAGTGACTGGCCATTTAAAGTTGAAACTTGTTTGGCAAATATTTTACTAACGTTATTATTAAGCATGTAAATTAACTTAAAAGGTCAACTCTTAATTGCCCCCAACAAAAGAGAGCTTTGGTACCAATAAATTAGAAGTAGGGCATCCAAATATATTTTGTTTGCAGTTTTATAGTGTGTTTTTTTAATTAAATTGGAAATGCCTATTCATGAAAAGTGAAAGTCTCATTCTTCAGTTATGTACAGAATTGTAAGGAATGAACAACCTAACTCTTCCAAATTATTGATGTAAATAAAGCACTAGCCTAAAATTTCTTCCAAAAAGCCCTGAAATTTAGACCAAAAGTAAATAAAGAATTAAGTACTACTCTACTTTTTAATGCTCCCTTTCCCTCTTGACATGAGCAGCAAGATACTAGAAAAAAATAAATCCAGTATGTACTTCCAGAATATATCAATTTTAGTTCTCCCATTTGATAGGGGGCTAAGAATAATAATAAAAATAAATTAAAAAAGAAAAGGTAACTTAATAATTAAAAAAGGCAGACTGAGCATGGGGAGAGGGTGGGTTTAGGAGAATATCTGTTGTCAGTCAACCCTTTTGTAAAATTCAGAGCACTATGATAAGTGCTCTTTAAATTATACCCAGGGCCATGCACAATTGCACATGGGATCTGGGCAATTCTTTGATAAACTTTAAGGTTGCCAGATAAATTACAGAAAGTTAATAACACATTTTCATTTTAAGAAGCAAAATAAAAAAAAAATATTCAAGACACCGAGCAATTTTACTTTTTGAAATAACTATCCTAAAATTTTTTCTTAAATTCAGATTTTGCAAAGTTGCTAGGTCATTAAGTAGACACTGAAAACAACTTTTCATATAAGGACTGTAGATTAATTCTTTATCAAGCATGTATTTTTCAAAAATCTAGGCCAAAGTGAACTAATTGAGATTTAATTCTAAATTTAGATTTCTAGATATAACATTGTTTTTGAAATAACTATCCTAAAATTTTTTCTTAAATTCAGATTTTGCAAAGTTGCTAGGTCATTAAGTAGACACTGAAAACAACTTTTCATATAAGGACTGTAGATTAATTCTTTATCAAGCATGTATTTTTCAAAAATCTAGGCCAAAGTGAACTAATTGAGATTTAATTCTAAATTTAGATTTCTAGACATAACATAGCAATAAAACCAGTAAAAATACTTTTGTTCAAGTATGTTTACTTCTCCAATTATTTAGTTTGGGAAATATTTACATCCTTGCCCCAAAAGATTACTTACAGTTTGAAAGATTAAAGATAAAAACAAAAATTGGTTCAACAATTGTCAAAATGAAATGAATACAACAACTTTCCACTCAATCCAAAAATAAACCACTGCAGCACGTGAGCTCAGCTCACATAAAACCACTTCTTTTTCCCAGCTTCATAACTGGACTGAACGTTGCTCAAAAACATTACCTATGTTAAAAGTGGAGAGATAAAAAGTGTTGTAAAGATTGCACAATGATTGAAATTGAGATGGATATAATGTATAATCATAACATTTCAGAGCTGGAAGAGATCTTCAGGATCGATCTAATCCAGCATCCACATTTTACAGATCAGGAAAGTGAGGGCCAAACTGAGTCATTTAGTCAAATGACTTGACCAGTCACATTCCTGGGCTGAGCCATTCATTCATTCACTCAGTCATTTTCCCATTTTCGGAAAGCTGCCTAAGTGCGAGGCTCAGTGGAAATAAGCTGGAAGCAGCATTCACCATAGTCAAGACAGGCTTCTTTCCTTATCTTCTTAAGATTAATCCTGAAATGCCCTAAGCAGCAAGAACTCACAGAAGAGTTCCACAGCCTTTGCAAAACAGGGCCCACTTTCGGTTTCACACATTTCAATAAACACAGTTGGGTTTAACTTCAGAGAGGCCTCAATTGTATTTACTTTAAGTGATTAAGCATTAACAAAGGGAAGAAGTACAGTATTCTGAGTGAGTCCCTCTCTAGTACATTCATAACTTAAGGAAGTGCAATCAGAAAATGCCCTAACACACAAACAAGTTCACAGACAGGACAGGTTATGAAATCAAAGCTATCTGAGGTATCACTATAGATCAGTTAAGTACAATAGCTCAAGTTTACAAAGTGTGGAATGTAAAGATCTCCCCATTTCATTCAAATGTGGGTACATTTTTCTGAGATGTCTATATGTAAAAAAAAAAAAAAGACCTCCAAACTCACATTCAAACTAATTCCCTCTTCTAATGACACACATATCCAAATCAGGCCTTTCTCCTTAAAATCAACTTTCTTTGATTTCCATTTCATTTTAAAAAATTAGGAAAAATAAACAAACCCTAAAAGTTAATGTGTTGGCTAAAGAAGTCAAAATTCTATGTATAATCAAAACAGCTTTAGCTCAAACTGCACATTTAAGAGTTTGTAAAAAAAAAAGGGGGGGGGGGATGTGCAGTGAACTCACCCATCAACAAAAATCATCTCTTATTTTACTTGGGACTTTTAGAGTCTGTAATATCATCTGGCACCTAAATGTTTTGTGTATCTCAATTCACAGTCAACTTCTTTAAGGAGAAGAAACCATATTGACAGAGCTCTGAAATAAAACAACCTCTAAGTAAGGCACTTTCAAACGTGAAACAGCAGCTCTCTGCGCATCAGTTTGTGTTCTATGCCAAGATGAACCACAGGTTATACAGCCCTCTCATAGATGACCACTGGGTGATTTCTGATAAAATATAATCTCCATTGAGGCTCTTTGACTTTCTGAATATACTGCTGTGCTCTTTTAGTTCTCAAAGTGCTGCTGTGCTCTTTTAGTTCTCAAACTTCCAGATTTGATTTTTATCCAGAGCATCACAAGTTCTCATCTGCACATCAGGTCGGCCCTCAGGTGTCCGATAAGCACTAAGACAGAGTCCTGAGTGAGGATGAAAAATGGTTCCATCTTCTTTAAAATGCCAAATAATGTTTGCTGGCACAGGGAACCCATCTTTTGGACAATTTTGCATCCCTACGTGATTTTTTTGCTCAGGAACCTCTGCACATAACTCTGTCACAGAATTAAACCTGATTTCTTTGTTTGAAGTGTATTCAAAGAATTGATTGCCCCCTTGACCATGGCATCCAAACAGTGAAAGGTTAGCACCTGTGGGGTTGTTGTCAGGAGCATTATAATCTAAACATTCAGAAGAGATCCCCATACTGCGAACAGCTCCGTGCCAGCCTGGCCTATCCTCTGGAACGTGTAAATTCGAAAACACGTTTTTCAAATACCAGTCAAAGCTCTTGCACTTCAGCCGTTCTCGTAGTAGCTTTCTTTCAGAAATATCTCCGTAAGCTTCTTTCCTGGCCGGAGGGTTTCGATTGTAGAAGTGCTCCTTGTACTCATCCATCCACACTTCTGCCGCCCGAGCAGTGTTCTGTAGGAAATTGGGCCGCGCATAGGGAGCCCGCTTAGGGAACACGTGGCCCACGTGGGAACACGGGTGGATCTCCAGCTTCCCTCCGCACTGCCACACCCTGAAAGACAGCTCCAGGTTTTCACCTCCCCACACTTCCATCCCAGTGTCATACGTCCCAAGGTACTCAAAATACTTCTTGCTGACAGCAAACAGTCCCCCGGCCATGGTGGGCGACCTGATGGGCTCGATTCTCGATTTCCACCTGTCCCGTTCATGTTTGGGGACAGAGTGCCACTGGAACGTCAGACGCCAGTCAAACCCACCAATCATGGGCTCCCCGGTCTGCATATAGAATTCGAAAGTATTCCAATCAATGGTGTCTATCACCGGACAAACCACGGCCGTTTCGTCCTCGCCGATCCTTTCCAAAAGGGGTTCCAACCAACCCGAGTTACACTCACAGTGGCAGTCCAGGAAGGTGAGCACGTCCCCCGTGGCAAACGTGGCCCCGATCAGGCGGGCCCGGACCAAGCCCTCCCGTTTGTTGGTGCGGATCAGGCGGACTCTCTCGAGGTTGCTGATGTACGTTTCGAGCTGCGCCTTCAAATACACGCGGTCGCTCAGGTCATCCACCAAGATGATCTCCTTCAGGAGGACCGCGGGGGAGGTCTCCAACACGCTGTGGATGGTGCGGAGCAGCGTGGACCAGGCCTCGTTGTAGAAGGCGATGATCACGGAGGTGGTGGGCAGCCGCCGGTAGTGGAACGCCTTGGACCTGCACTCAGGCATCCTCTTGTCCTCGATGTGGCGGTGCAAGGAGATCCTGTCGCTGAGGTAGATGTTGATGGCATATCTCTCAATGAGTTCCTCCTGCTGCTTCCGTTCGGCCTCGCTCAGCTGAAGGTGGCTGGCTTTGCCCCACTCCCCCGGGGCCTGGGGGTCGGCGGGCGGCTTCTCGTACAGCGGCC